TGACGCTGCCTCACAGCGCCCCCCTCCCCGCACATTAGTGGGTGTGGCATCGAAGATTATCAAGTAATAAAAAAAATTAAAAAAATTATAACATTGTTAGAACTTTAGCTTTGCTAACAAAGAGCTTTGCATTTATCAGACAACAGTTGTGAAAAACAACAAAAAATAGTGAAAAAAAATATTTCCCTCACCTCGAAAAGTCCTCTCTGCATCTTAGTAACAAACCTTGACAGAAGTGCCTAGCGAAGAGTGGGACGCACAATAAGAGTGTCTTCATATAGGTCCGTGAGTCATCGCGAGTCACTCCAGTTTCCAAACTAGGGTGGCGGGGGGTGAGTGGAATAAACGGCATGTGCTCTCTTGTGGTCTTCAAAACGCATGGGTCCCTGCGCAGTCTTCACCACAAGCACATGTGGGTAGTTGAGGGGGGGGGGCGGTGGTGCTGGGGTTAGGGCCCGTGCAAAACGAATGTTCTGATTGGTAAAAGTTTCTTACAGTCCTTAAACTTAGCCCATTTTTCGTTAGCATCCTGGAGTAATCCGGGAAGACCATAATGCGTCGTCCTCCCAAATGACATTTCCCCTTCTTCCCGATTGCAGTTCAGCGATGCGCTCGCAATCCTGAAATCTCAGAAATCTCGCTATTATGGCTCTGGGGCGGGTGGATGGTCACCATCCGGCGTCTAGGCATGGCTCCAAGGAATCTCCAATCCTTTGGCGAAGTCAATGTCAAAACAGCGTCGGAATGTATTCCCTCCAGGAAAGCGACAGCATAATTATTCCTCACACGACTCGGGGAAAGCCAACGAAGCGTAGGTTACATCTACGTTCACGTATTTTCCACATCATCCACTTCCCCCTGACTTCAACCTCTTTGCTAGTAGCCGGTGGATTGGGCCTCCAGCCTTTCCCTGTGCGTCCTCCAGAAAACCCAGGCGACCTTCCACGTTTGCTAATGCGGCTAGGCAATGTCGACTAGCTTACTCTCCGTATCGGCACACGTTGTGATGCGAATCTCCTCCAGTTTCTTAATCATGGCTGTCAACTTCTCCAATATAAGCGCCATAGAGCTTAGCCAACCAAACTCCCGTGCCACCTCACCAGGTACACTGGGAGAATCCGCAGCGGGCGCCTCCTCCATGCCCAGAGCGTGGGTGGAGGAGAAGATGGAGGCCTTTGGTTAGCATTAGCCTTAGCTTGACGCATGCTAGCATCCTCAGTGCTTTTACTGCCCCCGATCCCCGTTGTCGTGGTCGTTTTGGATGCGCCTCTCGTGGTGTTCGGCATGATAATAGCCAATGGGAGTACTACTGCGTAGGAATGGTCGCGCCCTGTTGCATTAAAATATAAAATAAAGTGCGGGGAAGGCGCAGAGCGCTCTCAAGCAGCCATACTTGCCAAGCGCGTCACGTGACTCCTGCATCATTATAGTAGTAAAATATGTTGTAATTGGCATAGGTAATTTCCAACCAAATGATGTTCTTTAACTTTAGTATGATTCTATACTGACTTAAACCTAATCCAAATCTACATAATAGCCCTCACCTGAGGCTCTAACAGTTCAGGAACTGCTCTCGATACTTGAAATAAATCATGCTCTGATCTTTCAATTTCCTATAATAAATAAAAACAGAGGAGAAAATATTGAATTAGAATCTACAGTGAGTAGCTCACTACATTGTTTGACATATACGATCAATCTCTAAAAACAATTCATAGTCCCATGCATACCTACAAAATTCCAACCTCGCCTGATGCACTGAAGGGCCTGTTGCTTCTACCTCAACATTCCCTATATTGTTCTCTCTTGTTGGTTGAGTTTCCTATGTATGTTAACAGAAGATTAATCATCACAATTCATAATTTGCTATTACTTGTGCTTTCTCTTACTTACTTTCCAACTGTTAAAAAAGCTCCTGATATATTTTATCTTTTTTTGTGTAGGTGGCATTTTTTCTAAATTATATAAGAAGGTATAGACAATCAAAAACAGAGATTCATATACATGAACTGCAGAATCATTTATATAACTTGGCCAATGTCAAAAGTTACATAGTATTTCTCAATACAATGAGTTAACAAGAGTTTGGCAATAAGTAACAGTGTGGATTTTTCTATATTTTCTTTTTTTTATTCCACTCTCAACCCAAAAAGGCAAGTAATGACTCACAGGGCTCTCAAGTATGCAAAATAAAAACTTAAATGACCTGTTGTGGTGTGTTTTGCGCACAACCAGCATGCATCGTTAACGCAATGGAAAATTTAGGTATCCGAGCTTTAATTTCGGGAGCGCTGGTTGCGCTTTGGGAAGAGTCAGGGGAGAGACATGTCAGAGACACAGGGGAGAAACGCGGGAGATACGAGGGAGACCCGCAGTTGCAACATGGTTCTGTCTGCATATGGTCCGAGCTCGGTACCATGTTAGAGCTGTGCTTTCACTGAGCGCCGCGGCTGTCAAGTTAATTGAAGAGGAATCCCTTTTGAAAGTTTTCTCAGTAATCCCGATCTTTTTCTCCAGATCAGAAAGCCGTTTAATGTTTTCTTTCTTTTTAATTGAGGCCTGTTGAATAATATGACCCCTCAAAAAAGCCTTCAGTGCCTCCCAGGCCACTCCAGCTGAGGGGGCAAAGGGAATATTTGTCTCCTTGTACAGATTAATTTGGAACTCAAGAGAATTTCTAAAGGTGTCCTCCATTAAAAGACTGGAGTTTAATCTCCATCTAGGAGTTTTAGCAATAGCATTAAAAGCGATGAGGGAGAGATAAATTGGACTATGATCTGATAAAATGATATTACCAATACTGCTATTAACAACTGCAGGCATCAGAGATTGGGAAATTAAAAAGAAATCTATTTGCGAAAAGGATGCGTGCAGGGCAGAGTAAAAGGTATAATCCCTACCCATTGGATTTTGTAACCGCCAGACATCTACTAGGGCACAGGCATTTGACATTGCTCTAAGTGAATAATTTCCTCTTGTTGTGCGATTAAGACTTTTACTCCGGTCTAAAGTGCCATCCATCACCTCGTTATAATCACCTGCCAACAAAACGGGATAGTCCCCCAGATCAGAAATCTTTTTTTCCAACTGGCCAAAGAAGGACGGATCGTCGACGTTGGGAGCATAAATATTAGCCAAAATGATAGTTGTACCTTGAATTTCACATAGCATAATTAACATCCTACCTGCCTCATCTGTACTTTGTTTTAAGCATTTAAATTGCAGACCCCTGTTAATTAATGTGGCTACTCCTCTACTTTTGCTAGTTCCACTGCATTAGTATGATTCTATACTGACTTAAACCTAATCCAAATCTACATAATAGCCCTCACCTGAGGCTCTAACAGTTCAGGAACTGCTCTCGATACTTGAAATAAATCATGCTCTGATCTTTCAATTTCCTATAATAAATAAAAACAGAGGAGAAAATATTGAATTAGAATCTACAGTGAGTAGCTCACTACATTGTTTGACATATACGATCAATCTCTAAAAACAATTCATAGTCCCATGCATACCTACAAAATTCCAACCTCACCTGATGCACTGAAGGGCCTGTTGCTTCTACCTCAACATTCCCTATATTGTTCTCTCTTGTTGGTTGAGTTTCCTATGTATGTTAACAGAAGATTAATCATCACAATTCATAATTTGCTATTACTTGTGCTTTCTCTTACTTACTTTCCAACTGTTAAAAAAGCTCCTGATATATTTTATCTTTTTTTGTGTAGGTGGCATTTTTTCTAAATTATATAAGAAGGTATAGACAATCAAAAACAGAGATTCATATACATGAACTGCAGAATCATTTTATATAACTTGGCCAATGTCAAAAGTTACATAGTATTTCTCAATACAATGAGTTAACAAGAGTTTGGCAATAAGTAACAGTGTGGATTTTTCTATATTTTCTTTTTTTTATTCCACTCTCAACCCAAAAAGGCAAGTAATGACTCACAGGGCTCTCAAGTATGCAAAATAAAAACTTAAATGACCTGTTGTGGTGTGTTTTGCGCACAACCAGCATGCATCGTTAACGCAATGGAAAATTTAGGTATCCGAGCTTTAATTTCGGGAGCGCTGGTTGCGCTTTGGGAAGAGTCAGGGGAGAGACATGTCAGAGACACAGGGGAGAAACGCGGGAGATACGAGGGAGACCCGCAGTTGCAACATGGTTCTGTCTGCATATGGTCCGAGCTCGGTACCATGTTAGAGCTGTGCTTTCACTGAGCGCCGCGGCTGTCATTACAAAGCGGCAGCAGCTGCACCAGGACGTGCACATTCGAGTGCATTGCTTGAATGTGCTTAGGGCAAATAACAGCAAGTGCCCGCTGTCACACATTTCACAGAAATTTCATTATCAGCAGATAAAGGTTGTAAATCGTGGATCCGTGGAATATTTTCATCCCTAGTTTATCCTGATTCACACAACACACCCACTTATACATTTTGGATAGTAAGAGCACAATAAGTATTTTCTCAGCCTTTCAACCAACCTGTTTCTTTATTGGAGCCAGTTCTGTTCTGTCTCTGTATGCCGTGTGAGCTCCTCGAAACATTAAACAGTGCGCTGACAGATTAGAAATAACGTAAGTACTTTGAATGGTAATAGATCTACAGTACTTTCCTCTGATTACTCACGTGCTACAACGCTCAGGGAACGAAAAAAAACACTTGCTTCACGCTGGCTAACTTTTAAAAATTAAACAGTCGCTCAGTGCTTCAGTTTGGCGCTGAAGAAGACAGCCAATCACTGCAGAGAACGGAACGGGCCACGTGCTGCTGCTGCTGCTGTTGCTCTGGAGGCGAGGAGGAGGCGTGACGTATGCACAAACGGAAGACATGTGTCCCGGACCGTCCGGGTCACGGGACATCATGTCATTTTGGTGGGGACTTTTTAGTCCTCACCAAATATTGGTGGGGACATGTCCCCATGGTCCCCACGCAAACCTACGCCCTTGATCTTGATGAATGTTAGATGTTTTTCCCCCTTGTCTCAGGTGAAAATGGATGACCTGTCCGCTCCGCTGCTCGACCCCCGGGAGCCCGTGGACACCCTCCCTCTGAGCGTGGGGGATCCGGTGGTGTGCATCCTGGGCTCTGGAGACTTCTCTCGGTCCCTGTCCACGCGGCTGCTGAGCTGTGGCTGCAGAGTGGTGATGGGCAGCAGAGACCCAGGCAGACTGGCCCCAGATCTGGTCCCAGCAGGAGTGGAGCTCAAGACGCAGGCACAGGCCCTGGAGGGTAGGAGGTTTACTTACTTCTTCATTATGCTAAAGTTTTAGTTTTTAGTTTTAGATTGCAAATAGCCGATTCTGTGAAGCCCACTAGTAGGCCTGTTACTGTAATTACTATTTTGACTTATCAATGAATAACTGATAGATAAAACAATACATTTATTTTCTGTAATTTTTTTTTGCAAAATGGAAGAGATTATTGCCTTTTCTCCGTGAAACAAGTGGATTTTATCTGTCAAGGGTTCAATATGACTAAACATTACTTAATTACGCTGTTTATTTTCATAAAGCATGTTTTTTAATGAAATAAAAAAAATGGGAAAAATATTTTATACTGGAATTATCCTGCTTTATGGTTCTATCATCAGTGTTATCAAAGCTTCTTTGATTGAAGATGGGACAGAGGCCAGAAATACATTCATGTGAAACGTAGATGGGTCGATAGATAGATAGACAGATGGAAACTTTACTGATTTCTCGTATGAAAAATGTAGGTGTCCAGCAGCACATGATCTGCTTGGTTGGGACCATGAATCCTCTCTAGTCTGGAGCTATGTAAAACCATAGCACTGTACTGCAGTAACATTTACAGCTTATTGTTTAATGCATCAATCGTTAGAATAAATGTCCACAATCAAATGAGTTATTGTGACAGGCCTATCCCCTACTGCTGTGATTTTGAGATGTACCAACATGTTTTGATTTGCCTGTTTGTCCCTGTGCTCCCCAGCGCTGGCCGAGGCTGGGGGCTCCCTGGTGTTCCTGGCCCTGTACCCAGAGCACTACCCTTCCCTGCTGCCTCTCAAGGCGCTGCTATCGGGCCGGACCCTGGTGGATGTGAGTAACGCCTCCGCTCTGCAGCACCAGGGCCAGTCCAACGCTCAGATCCTGGCCCAGCTGTTCCCCTGCTCCTCTGTGGTCAAGGGCTTCAACGGCCTGTCTGCCTGGACTCTGCTCACCGGGGCGCACGATGCCTCCAGACAGGTGCGAACGCCATGTCAAAAGCATTTTTTGGTTTCTTTTTTGTCTTACATTAGCAATCACTAGGTTGGTAGAGCATTGGCCTTTGACCCTGTCATTGTGTCCCTTGGGAAAGACACTTAAACCCACTTTGCCTGAAGCCCAGCTGAAAGGTCAAGGCTGTGCTCTCACCGACAGAGCAGCCATCCTCCTGTGGACTCACCACCTGCAGGAGGATAAGCGAGGGGCTGGTTCTCTGTGAATTGGACCCTGACCCAGAAATGGATTTTAGGAGTAGAAAATGGATGGATGGAAAGTATTTACCATTGAAATAGATTCTTTTATACGTCCCACAGTGGGGAAATTTCAGTGTTGCATCACCGGTTACTGAATAAAAGGAGAAAGAAGCACACAACACAAGATAAATGAACAGTAACTCTATACTAGAATGAAATCAAAATATTGTTATAAAATATCTAACTTTAGCAAAATAAAGAAGCAAAAAACTCCCTCACTTTAGGTTAATAAAGAAGCAAGTATAAATCTCTAGCTTTAGCATGATAAAGAAGCAAATTTATAATCCCCAGCTTTTGCATAATGAGGAATAAGGAAATAGACATTACAAGGCAAGAAAAAGCAAGTTTATTTGTACTGCATAAAAAAACAATCACACAAGGCATTGAAATCATAAATAATCACAGTATGATTATCACATTACTAGATTCAAATGAATAAGAGTATACAGACACACACGTTGGACATCACCTTGTTTGTAACATGCAGGTTGTGTGTCCCATAGGTGCTGGTGTGTGGAGACAGCCCCTCCTCCAAGTTGGCGGTCCAGTCTCTGTGCCGCCGCCTGGGCTTCAGTGCGGTGGATGTGGGGGGTCTGTGTGCCGCGAGAGCCGTGGAGGAGGCGCCCCTGCATCTGTTCCCATCCTGGAGAGGCCCCCTGCTCACTACCACACTGCTGTTCGTCTGCTTCTACCTGTACGCTGCACTTGCACACGTCCTGCTGCCCTTTCTGGACCGCGGACAGAACAACCTGCACCACTTGGCCCTGGTCACGGTCAACCAGGCACTGCCCGCGGTCGCTCTGGTCACTCTGGCACTGGTCTACATGCCAGGTCAGCACACAGTCACGATGATAAGAAGTCAATAATTGAGAACATTTTTTGACTACCTTAAAACAAGATTTGCAATTGGAACAAGCAACATTAACTTGTTTTAAAAAGAAAGAAGAAATATCTCCCTTGGAATGAGGAAATTAAGCTACAATTCTTGAAATAAGAATAAATGGCTTTGTCCTTATTACGCTAAAGATAGAGTATTTATCTTGTGTTGTGTGCTCCTCATTCCTACTGAATCTATCGAATACACCAAACTAATAATCGAGTAATCAAGAACAAAAAATCATATTTTTTCCTAATTAGAAATATACAACATAAAAAACGTGATGATGTGATCGTGATCAAAAACGTGAAAACCCCTTAATAATTACAACAAGAAGTTTTTAAATTTTATATTTTATTGTATTCATTTTGTAGAGAAATGAAGACAAGGCCGTAGCAATTGCACCTGTCCCACGGTCGATTTTTGAGTCCTTCCAAATTGAACAAAATGAAATGAGGCATGTCTCTGACCAGCATGTTTAAAATCTGTCAGAACAGCTGCGAGTTCTGCTTGTGTTTTGGTGCCATGGGTGGCACATGCGCTACTGAGCACAAGCCATGATTTGAATTATAATTAGAAAAAAAATTATTATTTATCATGAAATAAAGTGTCTTTTTTCACTTAACATTTTTCTATTTTATCTATGCCATATATTGGCATATGGTATATTTCTGACCAATATATCGATAATCGTCATATCGTGATATAACCGTTATCGTGATACAATCGTTATTGTGAGCTTTGTATCGCGTATCGTATCATATCGTGCGGTACCCTGAGTTTCCCACCCCTAATTTGAATAGGGTGCCTCTACCCTGAGTGTGTTGCCAGGCCTGTATATCTACCCTGTGTGTGTTGCCAGGCCTGTTTGCGTCGCTGCTGCAGCTCTACAGAGGCACTAAGTACAGGCCCTTCCCTGATTGGTTGGATCACTGGATGTGTGCTCGGAAGCAGCTGGGCCTCCTGAGCTTCCTGTGTGCTGCGCTGCATGCGGTCTACAGCGTGTGTCTCTCCATACGGCGAGCCGCGGGCTACATGATCCTCAACGCCGCTTTTCGACAGGTGCCACACACCTGTACCACACGACTGTACCACACACCTGTACCACACGACTGTACCACACACCTGTACCACACACCTGTACCACAGACCTGTACCACAGACCTGTACCACACACCTGTACCACACGACTGTACCACACACCTGTACCACACACCTGTACCACACGACTGTACCACACACCTGTACCACACGACTGTACCACACGACTGTACCACACACCTGTACCACAGACCTGTACCACACACCTGTACCACACGACTGTACCCACACACCTGTACCACACACCTGTACCACACGACTGTACCACACGACTGTACCACACACCTGTACCACACACCTGTACCACACGACTGTACCACACGACTGTACCACACACCTGTACCACACACCTGTACCACACGACTGTACCACACACCTGTACCACACGACTTTACCACACCACACACCTGTACTACACAACTGTACCACACACCTGTACCACACGACTGTACCACACACCTGTACCACACGACTGTACCACACACCTGTACCACACGACTGTACCACACACCTGTAACACACGACTGTACCACACACCTGTACCACACGACTGTACCACACCACACACCTGTACTACACAACTGTACCACACACCTCATCACTGTTCATGTAAGTAAGTAGAACATGCGACCTTCACTTAGAAAGGCCTTGTTCCGACTGGGATTCAAACCTAGGAACTTCTTGCTGAGATGCGAGAGTGCTATCCTCTCAGCCACCATGTAAATGTAACATTTAGTTTGCAGTTAATCATTTCGACATCATAGCCTTTCTGCTTCAGAAGACTCATGTGGTGTGTAGGGGACCTCACTGTCCTTAGACTCTTCTGCATCGATAAGGAACGACAAAAAAAAGTGGGGTAAATATTGGGACTGAGGCTAGAGCAGGGATTAAAGAGTTCCGTCTAGGTGACGGATTTCCGTCAAATGAAATTGGTCTGGAAAAAAAAAAATATATATATAATGATAATAATACACACAATGAAATGATTGATTATAAAAATAATATATAGTAATACATATACGTGTGAATCTGTTTTTTATATATATATATATATATATATATATATATATATATATCGATGTATAATAATAATTTGAATATAATTGTATTTATATGTATATAGAAATAATAAGTAATATAATCACGAGTGGGCCTTGAACGTGCCGTGGCCACAAGAGCGCTCCGCAAATGAATCAAGGCAATGGGACGTAGCTGAGCTCACGCGCAAATGAAGACGCGATGAAGTTAGCATTGGTAACACGGAGGTGAAAGTTTCTGGAAACTGCACGGAGCTTTTGAAAAGGAGAAGAGGAGGAAAATTGAATCTCGAACGGAGCAATAACAGCAGCAGATCCAGACTGGTAAGCTGGGCGCGTAATAGAGGAAAGGTAATTAACGTTTACCAAACGCAATGCTAGTTTACTTAACGGAATGTACAAAATGGACTTTGCTGCAACTGGGAATGGGGACAAACATGTCTTGGTGAGCTTTTGATATTGTCTTGTTTGCGATCTTCTTGCAAAACTCAGCGTGATGTAAAAGAGCCAATCAACGAGTCATGGTGCGAAAAGATGAAAGTGGCCGGTGCTTGTGCGTACTTTGCCATAAAAAATTGCATGTATGGGAGTAATGAGAAAAAAAGTTTTGATTCGCCACCAGCTCAAAACTGCGCACAAGGCAGCTGTTTGTGCACTTTCCCACACTTCATCTTTACCTGGTGCATCAGCAACAACTAACACTAGGCTTGCTATGGCGGACCGTGTCTGTGGCTTTATCGCAGAAAATAACGTTCAGAATATCACTACCGCTGGTAGATTTATTTAAATCATTTGCAGTTGATCGAAGTGCACTGTGCACTCAAACTTGATAGGGAAACCTTTTTCTTAAATATTGACGTGTCCACAAACAAATGTGGACAGAATTGTATCGTCCTTTTGCGATATTTTGACGAGGACAGAGCCAAAGTGTTGACGCTCCATATCGCCTCAAGTAAAGCTACTCACTAATATTCTGTCAAAAAGTTGACTCGTTGCTTGATCCACTTATATTTCATATCAAAATACACTGTATATCTTTGAAGAATTCATTTGAGCTGTATTCAATATACCAGTGTCTCCCAAAGTGGGTACTGCAGGGGGGCCGCGGGAGGTCATAAAAAAAATAAAAAAATAATATAATTATTTAATGTTAAATTTATAATGTTTTGTTTGTAATATTAAAATATTTGTGTTCATTATTTGACTTGAATAATCCACTGTAATCATTTTTGTATTACAATGTTTGTAGCAGAGGCTATTTCCCCAAAATAAAATAACCAGAAGAGCCTATTCTTAATGTTGTCTTCTTGGTTATTATTTTGGGGGGCCACGCAGACCCGTCAGATTTTTAAGGGGGCCTCGGTGTTACTGAGTTTGGGAATGCCTGCAATATACAATCTATTATACAATAATATATTGTAATTAAAAATATAACTTGGTCTTGCATATTACTGTGATTTACATGTGATAAATTTCCATGCAAAAATGTTCAGTCAAATTTTTTTTTTTTGCTTTAACCCCTGGGCTAGAGGCAATAGATCCAGGAGTGAGGCTGTAGATCCAGGACTGAGGCTGTAGATCCAGGACTGAGGCTGTAGATCCAGGACTGAGGCTGTCGATCCAGGACTGAGGCTGTAGATTCAGGACTGAGGCTGTAGATTCAGGACTAAGGCTGTAGATTCAGGACTGAGGCTGTAGATCCAGGACTGAGGCTCTGGATCCAGGACTGAGGCTGTAGATCCAGGACTGAGGCTGTAGATCCAGGACTGAGGCTGTAGATCCAGGACTGAGGCTGTAGATTAGAACCAGGACTGAGGCTGTATTCACACTTGTGTCTGTATCGTCTCCAGGTGAAGCAGGGTGTGGCCGACTCGTGGGAGGAGGCCCAGGTGTGGAGGTCAGACCTGTACCTCTCCAGTGGAATTCTGGGACTTGGAGTTCTGTCTGTGCTGGCCCTGACCTCTCTGCCCTCTGTGGGACACACTCTGAACTGGAGGGAGTTCACTTTTGTACAGGTCAGGAGACGCCACACAGCTTTATGAACCGCTTTAACGAGTGGCTTGAGACATTTCTGCGTTACTGTCCAATAATCGAGTTTAATCATATGACGTTGGTGTTCCCAAAAAAATCTCAAGATAGTAATACCCTATCCAATTACAATAGATATTTAGATTGTTGTTTACTTGTTTGGATGCAAGAGTCTGGCTGGGTTTTATCCTGACTCATGTGGCCACCTGAGTTAAGCAGATTTGTCCAAGGGCCGTTAGGAAGATTAATCTAGTCTTCTTAGTAGAAATAAAAGTATTGGGTTCTTCTATACCAGACAATAGTAGGTTAGAGATGTTATTACTTTGACATGTTTTGACGGATACCAGCCTCAGAAGAGTTTTGCGATGTCACACATGATGCGCCTTATCAGCTGCTGTTTCCTGGTTTTATGGCTGTATTTATATTGTGTTTTTTCATGGCTCCTTGTATGCGTTCCCTGACTCCCCAGATATATGTTAAGGTGTCTTTGTTGGGTTCCTGGTCTGTTCTTTTTTTAATGTTTTTTTATTTTGGGTTTTCTGCTTTTGTTTTTGACTTGTCATTTCCTTTTTCTACGACCCATCTTGGACATTGACATTCCTGCATGCTGTTTGTGAGTTTTGACTGGACAAAGAAACCCACATACTCAATACCGTCATTTATTAGTACACTCCAGGACCATTAGAACCAGAAAGCAAATGCAACTTAAGATATGAAATACCATGCAAATCATGCAAACAGACATACATGTATACAGGCAAACCAGGGAGGGCATTCAGCATCAGAGAGAATGAACATCGACAGGAATTTTATAACGAGACGGCAATACGACTAACCAGGACATAAAGACGGAGGGCGCAGGAGGACAACTTAAAATCAGTAATATCAGACCACTGCAAACGCAATAACCAAGAAATCAGGAAATGTGGCGATGAAACTATGAATCGTGACAAGGGCTCATACCAACTCTCCCGAACATGGGATCCGCCTCTCCAGCAACCACCAAAGGCCAGCAGAGGGCGCAGGCAGCCCGGTAAAGCCCATAGGTTGACTGGGGTGACTGCACCTGGAACAAGAGACACTTCTGAGGAAGTATCAATTGAAACATGTGAAGGTATTAACATATCCAACCTACTTTTGTCTGGTAAAGAATAATCCAATACTTGTATTGTCCAGGGGCCGACAGTCCGCTGTGAAAAATGGTTTTGACTGGATTCTGTCTGCTTAAAGCGTCATAATGAGCTATAATAGAGCCAAAGACAAATGTTTACAATCTCACCAGCTGCATTAGCGCATTGACAGAATTTAAAATGAAGATCAAAACAAATGTATACAAATAAAGTCAAAAGCTGAATTCCAGAGGTTCAGAGCTTTACAATACAGCTTTACCAACCAGGCCCTTCCCTGCTTAGCTTCAGAAGTCTGACAGGACATGGCTTTCAAAGGCCTTGGATGAGCTGAAGTTGGCTGGATGTGAACCTGTGTTTGGACATAACCATAGTAATGTATTGATGTTGTTTTGTGTGCAGTCGGGCCTGGGTTACCTCTCCTTGGCCCTCTCCGTGGCTCACGTCCTGTTCTTCGGCTGGGACATGGCGCTGCACTCGTGGGCATACCCGTACTTCCTGCCGCCGCTCTTCTTGCTGTCCCTGGTCCTGCCCTGCTGCGTGCTGATTGGCCGGCTGCTGTTGCTGGCGCCCTGCTGTGCCCTCAGACTGCACAAGATCCGCAGGGGCTGGGAGAGTTCCCGACACCAGCCCAAGGAGAGAGCAGAGACCCAGGCCCTCAGCGGAGATGTGTAGGGACTGGAGCTGTATGTGTGTGTGTGTATGTGTTCGCTTTTACATTTTATACCCTGCATTATATTTATAATGACAAGTCCTAACTATTAGTCACTGCCAAAAAATCGTGATACATTTTTTTATTTGAGTTTGTTTTGTTTATGAATTATTTTTAATATTCTTGTTTGAAGAAATGTACTTGTTTCTTTACCATTTGTTCAACAAGCCAAAATGCTATTTTTCCAGTATCAAAAAGGACGATTGCAAAATGCAATAATTAGTTCATTTTAATGGATTAATTTCATAATTAATCCAGAAAAATCCTGACGCAAGTAACTAAACTAGTCATCACTCAATCAACTAATTAGGAAATTCTATAGTATAAAAACTATACAAAATAATGTATATTGTATACAGGTGACTTAAGTAAAATGTTCTTCCAATGCAATGTATATATTTGTAATTTAAAATGTCTAAATCCTTTTACTTTTTTATAAAGGGAAGACTGTTTTTCATTAGCAGATCATTTCCCTTTTTTTATTCAAGTGATTGTATCTATAATTCATAACTATTATTATATTATTATTATTATTATATGATTTTGTTTCAATGATCTGTACTTTTCTTCTTGGGCCTTTTATCATGTTGTAAAATTATAGAACATGATGCATCTCAAAATCTCACACACATAAACACAGATTCTACCTCAAACAAGAAAAACAAAGTGAAACACTCACATCTAATCTCGTCAATAAAACCACATCTCTGTCTGCATCAGTTGTGCGTTTTTTATTTGCTTCTAATGTCTACATTTGAATGGACATTTAGTTGAGTACAGCATTTTTGCATATTAATTTATTTGAAAATTGGAATAATGAATATTAACATTACCTTTGTAACACCTAAACATATGTTCTACAATTATAGAAGTTTTCATGAGCTTACATAGGCCTACAGAGCCACCTCACGCAGCTGTTATCCTCTGCTAAACTTAGAAGCATGGCTAACCACAGGGATGTATTACGCTGCAGAAAATGGGTTTGAAGGAGGAGGTGGTAGGAAAAGGATGTCATGAAAGGACATAAAGGTAAAGTACTAACTGAGCTGCTGCAGGTCTGTGACAAAACAGCGCCATCTGCTGGGGGACTGCGCTTCCTGCATCACTTCCCGTGTGTGCGCTCCTTGTTTCCACTCCCTTTTCTTTGGGAGTTTAACTTTCTGTCTCGCAGTAGAAATAGAAACAAAGATGTGTTGAACGGATCATAGCACATGCATCTGTCACAAACATAGTCCTCCATGTGAAACACAAGACACTGTGTCGCTGTCAGTCATGACTTTGACCCGCTGGCCCTGGGAGCAGAGCCCGAGGCCTGCGCTGGAGGCTTCTCTGCAGAGATAGTTCACACATATGTTTGATTCATTCCCGATAAATGAAATGTCCTTTTCTAATGAAAAGACAAATCAGGGTCTCGAGCGTGTGACGGCAGCGCGCACCTGCCTCTTGTTGCTAGGTGGCGTTGCTAGGGCCAGTGCATCTTTTGAATCACTGCATCCGTGCAAAACTTTGGCTGAGACACAAACTCATTTTGACAAACTTCACTCGACGATTTCTTCAAACAGGAGACATCACTGCAGACCATTTCCACCCAGACTGCTGCTGACCCACTCCTGACCACAACTACGAGCCTTTTCTGAGGAAAAAACGTGAGCTTTTCCACTTTCCCTGTTCATCTCAGTCCCTATGGGTTTGGCCTGTGTTCCTCACACACAGACAGTAGCAAAATAGCAACACAGATCACTTTGATCCGTATGTAAAGCAGGTTTAAGAGAGATTAGACTGAGTATAATGATTATATTAAGTGTAAGAAATCCTCAGAAGTCCTCAAGCGACATGAAACCTGTGCCTTAAACTCATGTTGAGGATGAGTCTAAAGTGACAAACCCACATCACAGACAGGTTCTGCTTCATAAAAACGTCTTCATCAGCCGCAGCAGTGATGTATCTACTGCTGTCTCTGATAACATTACAGCCAGTTCAGTTCAACAGTCATTCTGTTCATGGAGATTATGATCCCTGTGATTTGGAATGAATAAGTCTGTTATTTATGGGTATGCCTGAGTATGGCAGGTCTGCCAGGCTGAGTACAGCCTGGCAGACCTGCCATACTCAGTCCAAATGGTTCTTGCACACATCCACAAGCGGGACTTTTAAACCACAAAACAATAAAGTCTGCAAATACATTCTTCTAGCTCGTCCCTCGCTCTTAAACAGTTTGGTTCTATGTTTTCACGTGCCTGTGTTTTTAACATCACCAAAGTGAGTGAGAGAGGACCATCCTCTTTCAGCCAATCAGCCCAAAGCATCAAATAACGACTCAGAGAGCTCTTTCTATACATAAAGACCAAATACTTATTAATAATTTAATTGTATCTGTTGGAAACAAACTCTATGTAACATTTATAACACAAAAAACAAATCTATTTAATACTTGAAAACGCCTCAATCTTCAAAAGACCTGATCCGTCTGTATCCACAATCTTTACTCAGATCGACTCATATGAACCATGACACAACACTGTCCTCGTCAAAAACCCTCCTGGAGTTGTTTTTAGATCCATCCACGCTAAATAAAGGGGAATGAAAATGAATGGATGAATAAATGGTGATGAGAGTGAGGTTCCGTTGGATCCTTGTTTGATCCGTTTGTAAACATTTTTTGTAAGATTGTGTGTGGATTGTTTTGTGGTGCAAAGCTTCTTTTGCAGGTGTCTTTTCTGTTCAGGGAAACAAGGTGAATGAATTAAAGTCACATTACTTTAAGAAATCACTCATTTATTTATTGTTTCTGACATTTTCTAGACAGAAAAAAGTGAAAGGAAGTGTAAAACATGGAAAGTCCCTCAGACAAAGAATATACAGCTCAGGTATATCATCTATTCTCTCTCTACTTGAAGTCCAGTGAATGAATAGAATGTGTTTTCTTCCAGTGAGGCCAGAGAGTGAGAGCAGAGAGTGGAGGAGGAGGAGGAGGAGGAGGAGGAGGAGGAGGCTAATATCCTTGTTTTCATTTCAAACACAGGTAAATGATCATATTGTTGTTTGTTTGTCTCTGCTCCAACTTCATTACAAGAAGAACCATCTTTGTGTTGAATACAAACCACTTTTATGCCCACATCTTGTTTTGTCTGAATGAGGGGAAAGCAAAGGTGAAAGTGGTTGTCAACACTGAGCCCTCACCCACACGGCCACTTCAGCAGCACGTACAACCGCTGGTCACCAGCCTCGCTGTCACTTTGGACTGGGATTTTATATTTGACACAGGTGAACACGCTTGACAACTCTTTTATCAGCTTTTATCCAAGTGAAACCTTGAAATAGTTTTGAACATGTGATTCACACTTTCATCTTCTCTGGCTGGGACTATTGTTGGAATGGACTGGCCGTCCCTTATGTGCTGAATGAATTAAGGGCAATTAGATTTGACCAGCACATGCACCCTCATGGAAGGGTACTGTTAGTATTAGATAGCAATATGGCCTACGTGCAGGACTGTACAAGGACTCTACAAGGACTCCATGTTATGACTATGATTTGACTGTCTCTTTGTGACACGTATGTCTTTCGATGTGTGACGTGACAATGACTATATAAACTGTGTACTGCCTTTATTCTGTCTGGGAGAAAGAAACAGAGTAAACCAGTGGAACTTGAGAGAAACTTAAATAAACTTCCAGAGTTTGGCGCACCACGATCCGTCTCTGTCTGCTAAATCCTAACAGATTTGGTGGAGAATGCGCGGCTCGGTTTGTGCCATTCTCTGGATTGTTTTGAGAGAATTTCCTCTGTTTCTTTTTTTCGGCGTGTGGGAGCGACAGCACGTTATCTGGAAGGGGAGAAATCCCAGCGGACGCTGAAAGGGCTCGCTTTTGGATGGGCTTGCTCTTGCTCCCTCACTTTCTCTGTTTTGTTTTTTAAATTGAATATTCCGACGCGGAAAAGAGGTTGGCAGACCTCTCGGACAGTCCTTGGAACCGGTTTGACAAGAATAAGGTAAGCAGACACCTTTTTTAATATGTAAAGTCTGCATAATTGGATATTAGCTAAATTTTGGTCTGTTTTTTGGGGTCTGTCAAACTCTCTAAATTGTATTTTGAAGAAGTCTCGGGGTTAAAGTCTCTTTGAGCCTCGGGGTTAAAGTCCCTTTGAGAAAGTCTCGGGGGTTAAAGTCCCTTTGAGCCTGGGGGTTAAAGTCCCTTTGAGAAAGTCTCGGGGGTTAAAGTCCCTTTGAGCCTCGGGGTTAAAGTCCCTTTGAGAAAGTCTCGGGGTTAAAGTCCCTTTGAGAAAAGCCTCGGGGTTAAAGTCCCTTTGAGAAGAAGCTTCAGGGTTAAAGTCCCTTTGAGAGAAACCATGGTGTAAACAGAAAAGCAATTTATAAAAAGGGAAACGTGTTAAGGAGGCCTTTGTTACAAAAGCTTTGAAATTGACGAATTTCAAGCTGATAAATGACAAAAGTACATAAGCAACAATATTTCAGTGATCACGGTTTAAATTACATACAGAAAAAGGGAGTTTTTGTTTTTGGAGTGAACAGAGTTCACCGGAGAATGCAGAGTTTTATCTAAAGTTGAGCTATGAGAGCTTTCGTGAGTTATTTACATTTTTTGCCGAGTTTTATCTACAGTTGAGCTATGAGAAGGCTGTATCCAACAGTTGTTTTTGTTTTTTAGAAAGAGATTTTGAGTTTAAATTAGTTTGCTACCTCGATAAAATAGAAGCGTAAACGTTAAACACTAAAGAGTGCCTTTTGTTACTAGTGTGGAAAGTGATCAATTCTAGACTTGGATGACAAAAGTATAAACTACAACATCAGTTATATTAGCTTAAAAAAAGTAATCTTGAAAGTTATTCTTCTGTATCTTTTTGCCTGTGTGTGTGCGTCGCTCTATCTGCTGCCGTTGTCAGGGAAACGGCCCCCTCCTTCGTTGCTCTGGCTGTGAATCTGAAGCAAAGCTACTGCTTTAGGACTTTTGGCTTTTCATAGTTGTTATTCCGTTAAATTTGCTAAATTTGCCATTTGAACATTGTGTTAGACACAGTTAAACGTTTTTAAACACCATTAGGGAATAGAAGTTTTGAATTAGTATGTTTTTGAAACCCAAATATTAGTACAAAAAGCTTTGCTTTTCTTTTTAAATCTGCTGCTTATTTTGTGAGTCCATTATTGTATCTCTGATATATTTCATAGCTGTTTGTGAGAATTTTTTCATGTATTTTTTATTTTAGTTACAAAAGCCGTTTTTCAAACATTTAAATTAGAATCTGTTAAAAGTGATTAATGATTGTAGACTTCGTCTAAAAAAGAAAGAGGGAATTAGGCTGTAAAAGTATTATATTATTAAGTTAAACTACCCAATTCACATGCAAGCGGTGACTTTTGTTTTTGTTTTGACTACACGCCTGACCTTGTTGCTCCTGCTGATGCCACAGCAGAGGAGACTGGTCTAAAATGTGCTCCAATTCATACTGACTTCATTTGAAAAATACTGCAATTATTTTAAATTAGTAGAATAGATGCTGAGATAAATGTTCAAGTGTAAAAGGGAAAGTCCATAAAGTGAAACCCAAGATGTTCAAGATTAAAAACATCACACAGTACAAAAGTACATAATACATATTTTAAAGTTTAAGAAGGTTTAAGAGATTTGAGTCTTGTTTTTTATATTGAGAGTTTCTGGTTTTAAATGTCATCATTAGTAAGATAATAAGTAATCTTTTATTTACATAGCGCTTGGGAAAGCCAAGAGCGCTCCAAAATTGTTTAGACTTCAGAGAGAAAAACAATCTCATTCACAATCTCTGTTGTTTTTAATTTGACTATAAGGTTGTTTTCCAGAACCAAGAGCACACACTGTACAGGGTCACTGGACTGCTGGACACTGGACAGCGCAAAGCCCACCCAGCCACAGGCCACAGAGCTAAGAGCAAAGGGAAATGCCACCTCCTTGCCCCTCCCCACGCCACTCCAGAACTGAGTGGGTGTGAGAGAGACCGGGGTAGAGAGAGGTTTCTAGAGACGTGATGGTGGAGCATCAGGGAAAGACCTGAATGAGAGTTGAAAGTGTGTCCAGTTGGTTTGCATCACCACAGTGTGACCTTTGACACCTACAGGTGGTTCGAGGAGTCTTGAGACACAACCCCAAAATTCACATACACACACACACACATACACACATTCATACACTCACACATTCACATTTACATATAGATACATGAAAAAGCAGAACATGAGAAAAAAGCATTTTAAAAGTTTACTCCAATGTAAACATATTTTTAATTGTCTATCCCTTGAATCAGTATTTTTTGAGACCAGAAATGTTCATTTGAATTCTATATTGTCATGGACATAATTGACCTCTGTCCTGACACTTTTTATGTTTTGATTTTGTACTGTGTGAAGTAATTACATTGATTAGGATTACATCTGATAAAAACACAAATTAGAGAAGTAAACTGAATCATTGCGCTTGCTTTTTGTCTGAGGGACATTAGCAACAGCATGAATAGAAATTGTGTTAAAGTAGAATCAAAGTGACTTAACCATAGAGAGTAACTACTGCATAACAAGCTGTGTACAGGAACTGTGAGACTGCACCATTGACCAGAAGTGCATCCCAAGTGACCTGATGTGCTTCAACTGAAAAGACTGTATCTGGAGATCCTGATGTGCATCTGGAGACCAAAACCATGGCTTGGACCCTACTGATGTCCAAGATGACCTGACCTGATGACGACTGAGACTCACCCTCAGGGGACCCTGAGGACCTGAGGACCTGAGGATCTGAGAGAGAAAAACTGGGGAGTGATGTTTATATTTTTGAAATCATACATTGATGAGTGCTAAATGAGAGAGATACTCATGATTCTTTCTTTTGTTTTTGTTTGTCCCTAGCTTCTGGACATCTGATGATCTATTGGACACAGCGATTTGCAGAACAAGAACCAGCCAATGAAAAACGTCTATTGCCGATGCTATTGCTACAACCAGAACCTGTGACCAAATGCAATATAAATGTTAAGTATTCAGACATCTGACAGACAAAAACTTTGAAAATGATAAAGTATAAGTATTGTAGCGTTTTAGTAGATGTTAAATAGTAGTAAAAGAGTAGAATTTGACTTCCTTTGTTTTTCATAAACACATTTCCACATAAGAGTTAAAATAGTACCCTACAATGTTATCCTTTTGATAGATCAGCTATAATATTAGAATCAGAGTTATGTTACAGCCATTGAAAGTGACAGAAGTCACAAATTAGAAATATGCCTTTGCTCAAGCTGCAGCCGAGCTTTTGAGTTAAAAAATAGAGTAAAAATAGGAATAGATAAATGCATCAACCATAGATGCTTTCAAAAATAGAGAATATTCTTAGCCAGTGCTAATATCAAATGGTAAAGGGACCATTTCACAAGCATTTACTTCAAAAGTAGATAAAGTTACTTACAGTTTTATTAGATACTTGCCAAATTCACTTGTGTTCAAACATTGGTGAATGTTGACAATGCAAAAAGTTCATATGAGTGTAGCCTAGATTAATGCCTAGATTAATGAGATAGATTAGAACCAACAGAGATTCAAAAGCATTTAAAAGCATTTTGATGCATTTGTGTATAGCACAAAAACACAATAGTAGATATTTAGATATTGAGAAGTTTCCAGCACAAACACCATTGTAGAATAACTGACCCCAACCCCAAACCTAATTAGCTACTATTAGGATAATACTAATTTGATTAATGATGTACATTCATCCCAAACTGCCTGACAATAATATCTTTAGATAATAAAAAGTAATAAATCATTGACCACTATAGAAGTGTAAATGTTGACCATTTGCCTTACTGTGTTCACAGTTTAATTCCTGAGAATGAGAATAGACATGGAGCAAAATCCCACTGATAATGAAAGTAAACCACAGAACAGAGAGATTTATTAGATTAAAATGTATGTTTAAGAATATGGCTCAATATAAGCAAATATACAAACATATTTGTGAATAGATTAGAATAGTTTTAAACTATAGTGAATAGAGAGTAAAGTACACAGTATAAGATTAAAAAGTGAAAATAATACAGTGAAATAAGTGAAGTGTAGTGTAAACAATTATCATTAGAATAAAAGCATAGAGTAATAAAAGTGAAATTAGCTTCAAATTTGAGACTCAGCTCGTTTTTGTCTGTGTTTTGACTGAATCTGCTGAGTTCTTGTGTGTCCAATAGTTTTTGTTTGTTTTTATTTTTGTTTGTTTTTATTTTTGATTTGTTTTTGTTTTTGTTGTTTTTTGTTTATTTATTTACTTTATTTTTGATTTGTTTGTTTTTGTTTGTTTTGTTTTTTCCCAGGATAGAGGATAAAATCCACTGATATTGATTTGATGATTATGAGTTTAATGCATACATTTTCTTTGTTTTTAATAATTTTTTAAAGTTTTTTTTTTAGATTTTTTTTTTCTTTTTCCATTTTATTGATTGATCGATTTGAGTGATCACATGTGATTATGTGATCAAAGGGGAGGGTGTTAGTATTAGATAGCAATATGGCCTACGTGCAGGACTGTACAAGGACTCTACAAGGACTCCATGTTATGACTATGATTTGACTGTCTCTTTGTGACACGTATGTCTTTCGATGTGTGACGTGACAATGACTATATAAACTGTGTACTGCCTTTATTCTGTCTGAGAGGAAGAAACAGAGTAAACCAGTGGAACTTGAGAGAAACTTAAATAAACTTCCAGAGTTTGGCACACCACGATCCGTCTCTGTCTGCTTAAATCCTAACAGTACTTAACCTGGTTCTAAAATGTGTTTGATAAACTGATTGTCCTATTAATCCTTTTTTGCTTCATCTACAGAAGGTCCAGGTATGGAGCCGTACCTTTTGTCATTGTTTTGTTGAATGGCCGATGGTGGACCATGTAACGGACAAAACCTTTCAAGTGGACGGGTTCTCCTGCCCTGCATGTGTGCCAGACATGGCTGTCCATGGAAACAGACAACTATTGTTTTAATAATACTTCAAGGTAAAGAGACCTTGTAACGATAATGTGTTATCATAAATATTCACAGCATGTATATGCAGGACCACAGAATCTGCTTACTTTGAGGGAGTTTTTGTTTGCGGTGACCAGCAAGTGGCAGCAGCTGTACATGGTTTCTGCGCTTAAACAAATTATACATCAATTATGTCAAACAAAAGCCCATGATGAGAATAATGAGGTAATGTTTGTTTTTAATGAAGTACATGCAATGTTTTTAGCCCTTTTCAAAATATATTCCACCTTTTCCTAGATGGAATGAGGAAAGGAACTCAAGCTGGTGCTGAGTCCACTTTGGGGGAGGAACTATCTCCTTCCTCTTCTCGCACTCAGGTCCAAATACATGTGAAATTCAGGTACTCTGTAGTGACAAAAAAACTCTAGTGTTGTGCAGAAATGATGTCTAACCTGCATTATCTCTTTGTAGCTTGAATCAACATGAACTTAACAGTCTAAAGCCTCAAATGTGGAAAGATCAATCAGATCAATCAATCACAATAGGTAAGTTCACAATTTTTAATCAAATTTGGAATTAAATTGTAAAATGAATAACCTTAATGGATATAACGATATAAAATTTCTAGTCTTAAGGAATTGAAGGTGAAAGTCGAGCAACACTCGCAGTCCCAGACGGTCTTATGTGGAACAAAAACGTTTATACGGCTAAAAAAGTTGTGCCAAACTGGCTGTTGGATGCACTGAATGAACTCTTTGGCACTCAACAAAACCCTGGCACAAAAGTCCACTCCCTCCAGAACACCAGATGCTGAAGCTGTCCTCAGACAGTGACAGAAGATCTGAGTGGGATCACCGTACGCAAAGGGCCGGATGCAGACTAATTACAAGGTGTGTAAAGAAAGGTTGTGCTGATGAACTCCCTGAAGTCTTCACTTTGACATGTTTAACTCATCTCTGCAGCTGTTGTCCCAATGCACCTCAAAGACACCATCATTGTTCCAGCACCAAAGAAGTCCCCAGAAAGCTGATCAGAAAGCTGAACTCCCTCTCTGACCTGCATTCAGGACACTCCACCTGCCCTCGCCCCTGCATTCAGGACACTCCACCTGTCTCACTTCCAAAGGCGTCAGAGATACTTGGGACCCCATACGCACCCATAACAGCCCCCAAAATAATGCCTCGAGGGAGGGGGAACTCCACAAGACATGTCCAGCCGACTGAAGAACCGTTTTTTCCACCAGGTGATCAGAAAGCTGAACTCCCTCCCTGACCTGATCCCTCACTCCACCCTCACCTTCCCTAATAGTCAAGGACAAAAGAAAAACAATAAAACCCCCCAGCTTCAATGACTCCCGCCCAGTCGCACTCACTACATTTCTTATGACGTGCTTCAAGCGGCTCGTACAGACCACATCAAGTCTGTTCTCCCACCAGCCCTGGACCCAGACCAGTTTGACCAGTGAGTATCGGAGCAATCGCTCAACTGGAGATGCCATCTCCACTGCGCTTCATACAGTCCTCACTCACCTTGAAAGAAAAGAGTCCTACGTTAGAATGCTCTTTGAAGACTTCAGCTCAGCATTCAACTCTAGAATTCACTTTCTGATGGGAGACCACAGGCTGTACGGAAAGTCCTCCAGAACCATCACACTGAGCACAGGTCCACCATGCTCCTGTAACAATCAATAGTCTCCTGTGGAGAGGGGGACCAGTCCATGATGTGCACATCAGGATTTCCCCTGCACCATACACACTACATCAGTCGACTGAAGAACCCTCGCACCTGCATTCAGGACACTCCATCTGTCTCACTTCCAAAGGCGTCAGAGATACTTGGGACCCTACGCACCCATAACAGCCCCCAAAATAATGCCTCGAGGGAGGGGGAACTCCACGAGACATGTCCAGTCGACTGAAGAACCGTTTTTTCCACCAGGTGATCAGAAAGCTCAACTTCCTCCCTTACCTGCCCTCCCTGGATCCCTCACTCCACCCTCACCTTCCCTAATAGTCAAGGACAAAAGAATTTACAATAAAATCTTGGAATTTTAATCTTGAATATTTTGATGTTAGTCTCTGTCTTCAAGTGTTGTTTGCCAGATTTTCTGATCAGTCATGTCAGAATACAGCGCAATATCATCCATATCACCTGTAATTGAGCATACACACATTATAATCCCGCTCTAAACCCTACACAGGGTTTCACCTCCTAAAAACATCTATTTTAAAGGGTTCCTGTTAACTCTTGATTTGGTCAACACAATAGGTTTGAACACATTAAGAGTGACAGTCTGTAAAACTGTCAGCTGCCATTCATTAGAAAGGCTCTGTGCACAAACCTGCTCCCAGCACTGAGGTCACTTCTGCTCTTTGGACAATCTAACTTTACAATTGCAGTGAAAATGTCAAATGGCGAGGTATAGGCTAAAAACTGTACACGCACTAACCACTTGCTTATAGTCCTCATAATACTTATTGTTTGTAGCAGTGTTTAGTTTGCATGAATTTATAGAATGGCGTTAGCGAGTGGAGAATTGCAGGCAGTAGCCACACATAGACCTATAGCCATTACTATTGGACACGACCCATAGATCGAGCTATTTAAACCGCCCAGAGTCGGCCTTCAAGAGACACGGAGACAAGACGGCGGACGATAGACACGCAGAACAACACTCGAGATGCAGAACCAGTACAGGGACGTGGGAAATGCACTCGAGTAGTTTTGCTGCTGTTGAGAACTGGGAACTTCGCAAACCCTTATTCTGCAGTCTCTTGTAACGGACGGGCACTACAAAGCTGAAGCAGGCTTGGAACGCTACAGTGGCAGCAGGGTCGAGACTCGCACCTAACCAAAGGGGGACCAACGTCCACAATTGGAGCCCACCAGGAGTGTGGAGAGAGGGCCAGCTTGAGCTAAGTTAAAGGGACGTCTGCAGCCTGTCACTATCTATCTATTGGGGGTAATTTGCGAGTGTTTGCAGTGTGATACCCCCTAAAACCCGTGTTACAGAGGCTGAAACGGACGTAGGCAGACGCGCGCCACGACTGGAACAACGGAGCCGGCTCGGCCTGGATCGGCAGGGGACCAGATCAGCCCAGTGTGGCTAGACTGTGCACACGAGATAAGTTAAAGGGATTCTTCTCCACTTAATTTTCTGCAGCTGTGGTCTATGCACTGTCTAAATGTTAACTGGCATTTAATGGGATTCCTTTCTCCACAGGCCATTCCGGAGAGGCACGGATTGTGGACGGGCACTCATTTACGCTTGGAGACTGGACTGTTCAACCCTCCCCTCCCCTGGACATTGCGTTAGCCCCCACCAAAATTAGTTTTGGGCACACATTCTATTTTGTAAATAGTGCTTTTATTGGAGTTACAGGATCAAAGACCTTTTGAGCTTTCCTTGTCTCTTTTAACTACTTATTTTTATACTTTGAATGATACAAATTAAAACACTCAACTTTTACCTGGTTGCATCATTTCCTACGAGAGGAAGTATTTATGGTTGTATATGTTATTTTTGGCGTTGCTGGGAGGATCCACAACTCCACTTTTAGGAAATGGATCAAACACAGAGTGGGAAGCTCCACCCATTTTGTGATGCTGTGGTTTATGGGTGCAGCCTGGATGCCTACAGTATTTTCACAGGTGATTTTGCTAAATCCCTCAGAATGGAGGGACCAAGCAGAAGTAATGATCAGAACTCAGGGATTAAGTCCACAACAACAGACAGATTTTGTATTTGGGGCCGTAGAAGAAGATACAAAGCACAAAATAATGCTGTTAAGTACTAATGAGAGGGACACTTCAAAGAAGATTTTTGATTTTCTAAAGACACTGTATTGTCTTTTGTTGTAGTCACTAAAGCCCAGCTGCGAGTTACTTTTTAAGATTGTAAACAAAGAGCGGGTGAATCAGCCTTGGAGAGCATTATAAACGGTGGCAATAGGGGGATGTAGATAGGGCTGAAGAGGGGGGGTGTCACTACTTGAACAATTAGTAATAGGGATGTACAAAGGGGAAATTAGACAAGAATTGGGCCGACAGAAGCGGCGCCAAGAGAACATATCATTCAAAGATGCCTGCAAGGAAGCTTGTGCCTTGGAACCGGAGCTAGAGAGTGACACTACACTATCAGATGAAAAAACAGATCCATGTTGAGTTAAAGACTGAATTGATGGGTGAAATAAAAAGAGATTTACAATAACAGCTAAAAGGTTTTTCCTCCTCCCTTGTTTGTGAAAGTAAAACACAGATTTCCCCACCAAACTGCCCACCTCCTTTAATGCAGCTTGCCTAGTCCAAATCACCCTCCTACCAGTGGGATGAATGGGGCCGCCCTATCTGCCTACAGTGTGGACATGTTCGGCGTTAGTGCCCACAAAGGAACAAGGGCAGCAGGAGTTTTAGTGACCCCTACAGCTGAGGGCCAAGCAGTGGGGGCAGTGATTTTGACCCAGGAGCACACAACCCTGAGAACCTCCCAGGACTACACTCCATCTGAGCCCGGGACGCCACCTTCCGGACCATTATCTCTCCGGCTGAAAGGAGAGTGAACAAATTCACACAATGCCAGCGAGTGGCTGTCAAGGGTCCTCACTCATTATTTAAAGGAGCATCCAAGCTGACTTGCCAGGTGGCTGTCACTATTCCCCCATACTCAGAGATGGTGGTTTGGACCAGCAAAACCAAAAACCATACCGGGGAATCCATGCACGGTACTAGCAGAACCCCTAGGTAATGATAGTGGTGTCCACTGCCCAAGCCCTCTATCGCAACTTTTTCGTGACCTTTGGTTGTCCAGAAAGGATCCACCCTTATGAGCCAGTTGTGTCAGATATATGGTTGTACAAAAAGTCAGACCACCGATATCACCCTCAGGGGAACGGAGCCTGTGAACGGTTTTATCAAACTCTCTTGCAGCTGCTGAATTTGCTTTCAGAGAGTCAGCACGCCCAGTGGTCTCAACAGCTGCCAGCATTAGTCCAAGCATATACTGTAATAATACAGTACACAGCGCAACTGGGATGACTCAACACTATATGTTATTTGGAAGACACGCAAGGCTACTTGTGGATTTGATGGTCGGTTTGGATCGTCACCACAGGGGTGTGAAGACGGCCCGCGGTCACAAGGGTTTACATTCTCAACCGCGCCAGACCAAATGCGCTGTAGTACAAGGCAACCTTGCTGAAGCCCAGTTGCCGCGGTCACATAGCACCTAAAGCGCGGATCTAATTGCAAAGTTGGCCCAGGCCCACTTTAACCGGGCTTTAGGCTGTGCATGTGACCGCTGCCCAACACGATTATTAATGTTATTTTAATGGTTTTTAAATGTCTTAATGGTCTTGGGCCTTCTTATCTTTCAGAACTGCTTTTATCCTATCAACCTTCCCGGCCCCTGCGCTCCTCCGGCAGCAGACTCCTAACCATCCCCAAAGTCAGGACACACACTCACGGCGAGGCATCTTTCCAGCACTACGGCCCCCGTCTCTGGAACAGTCTGCCGCAGGAGCTCAGGGCCGCAGAGAACGTTCATATTTTTAAGAGTAGGCTCAAGACGCACCTTTTTTGAGTAGCTTTTGATGAGTATTTTGTTGTATTTTTTTTTTATCATTTATTGTATCTACCCATTTACTATTGTTATTATCAATATTAGGCAGCTGCCATTTTTCTTTTAGTGTCTCATTTTATTGTGCTACTTTCTATTGTATTATTGTTTTGTTTTAGTATCCCCAGTGTTTCCTCTGGAGGAGCCCTCTGCACTGAGAGCTGGGGTCTGCTGTGGCTTCGGGGGTCTGGCTCTTGGATCCGGTGGGGGTCTGGGGCCTCCTCTCTCCTCTGGGTCCTATGGGGTCTGACTCCTGGGCCTGGTGTACTTATACTTGTGTGTGTATGTGTATACTCAAAACATGTTCTATACTCAAAAACCTCTACATTTACATATGTCAGACAGAATGTACAGTATCCATCCAGTAGGTGGCGTTATATTTTTGACAATCGCAGTCACAGAATGACCAAATGACTGTAACAAACACTATAAATGACAACAAACCAAAGTGAACTATATAAATACAGTGTAAGTGCAATAGAATACGGTTGTGTACACTTGTGTGTGTGTTTGTGTGGTTGCATCTACACAATGTCAGACAAAAACAAGTTGTGTAACCTTTGCTCAAACACCCAAAGAGCGCTGTTGCTATACCTGCTGGCTTAATAAAACATTGTCTAAAGCGAACAAAAACAATTTTGGTTATACCACCAGAGAACACATCACCCCTGTCCTCCAGCAGCTCCACTGGCTCACAGTTCAATACCGCATCCATTACAAGCTCCTCCTCCTCACCTACAAGTCCCTCCATAACCTGGCCCCGCCCTACCTTACTGAGCTCCTACAACAGCACAAACCCACCCGCCGCCTTCGCTCAGCCAATTCCAACCTCCTCACCCCCATCACCCGCACTAACCGCCGAACCTTGGGGGACAGAGCTGTTGCCATTGCCGCCCTAACCCTCTGGAACTCACTCCCACTGCCCATAGGACTCTTTTCCCATCCGGGTACTTTCAGAGCGCCGCACTGCTGGAGGTGAAAACAATGGCGGTGTTAGACAGCGATTTTGCCTGAGAATGACAGATTGTGTACGATAAATTACGTTTTTCCTCAGTAAATCATGCCTAAAAGCTGCTGTGCGGTTGGATGTTCAAACCATAACATGATGGGGAAGAAATTTTCATTCTTTACCTTCCCGAAACATCCTGAACGTTGGAAAAAGTGGGTCAACAGTGTGAAGAGAGTGAATCCGGACGGTTCGGATTGGAGGCCAAGCAAGCTTACAGTCCTTTGTAGCGAACACTTCTTAAGTGGTAAGAATCGTTTTCGATTATGATAAAATGCATGATTACTTTGCTTTCTAAATATTTTTGCTACAACCAACTTTGCTAGCGATGTAACTGGCCTCTCCGGTGCTAGTTACAAATCAAAATAGCTGTTGGCAAAGGTGAATACAACGGCATTGGGTGGTTGTCATTGGATTTGGGAGGATTTATTAAGCTGAATAATGGTCAGATTGTGATGAAATGTCATTTTATTACCATGATAACCTGCCAATTGAGGCAAAAGACCGATATAAACAAATTAAGTGAAGTAAACCAACCACCCTCTGTGGAACGACTCAAATTTGTTAAAAGATATTAGCAGAGTTGTTATGTTAATTTGCCAACCTACAGTGACTGAGTTGTTGATATGGATGTATGTTATTACAGCCTGCAATACTTATTAAACTTTTAACAATTGTTAAAAGTTTAAAGGGTTTATATCAGAACATTAATCTAAAGGAAGGAAGATGTTATGGATGTTGAGCACTGAGCTGCGAGCACACCTAATGGTATATATATATATATATATATATATATATATATATATATATATATAAAACCTATTAAATAACATCTTAAGTTTACATATAGAATTGAATTCTGTAAATAAAAAAATCCATGGAACAGTTACATCACATTATCAGCATAATGTAAAACTATTTAGATTACCTAAACACTGTACATTGTATGCATACATGGTTTGATTTTAAATTGTTTTAAATGAAGCTCTGGTCATAGAAATGCCTTTATATTTAATACGGACTTGGGGCTCACAGCGAAAGGTCGTTTATTGCTTATTCCTGTAGTAGTTAAGCGATTATTATCCAATAAATCACTTGAACTGTAAACCATTATGATGCATGATTTATGTTTTAATATGTTTAAATAGATTTAACTATCTAGTAAGATCTACCCTGATTAATTTATATTCAATTGTTTTCTGTTTTCAGGGAGACCCAGTACCGATCCTACGCATCCTGACTTCATTCCCTCCATCTTCAAGCACATCAAAACTGACTCCAAATCATCAGAGTCCAAGCTCCGGAGATTTGCTGCTGCCTCAAAGAGAAAACTTCACGTCCCTTCACAAACTCCACCCAAGAAGAGGGTACTTGACAGCCTTGATACACCGACAGCAGTACTTCAAGACAGCCTTGATACACCGACAGCAGTACTTCAAGACAGCCTTGATACACCGACAGCAGTACTTCAAGACAGCCTTGATACACCGACAGCAGTACTTCAAGACAGCCTTGATACACCGACAGCAGTACTTCAAGACAGCCTTGATACACCGACAGCAGTACTTCAAGACAGCCTTGATACACCGACAGCAGTACTTCAAGACAGCCTTGATACACCGACATCAGTACTTCAAGACAGCCTTGATACACCGACAGCAGTACTTCAAGACAGCCTTGATACACCGACATCAGTTCCTTGCCCCTCATCACTTTCCAAGCCGGTTGGTGACGATGAACGGAAGCAGCTGTATGAGGAAATTGACAACCTGCGCAAGGAAAAAGCAAACCTTCTTGAAGACAACAAGAGACTGAAATGTGCAGCTTACCTTCATGCTTCCTGTGTGGAAGGAAATGATAAGAAGTGTAATTTTTTTACTGGTATTTCATGGGGTGTGTTCCTGAAAACGTTTTCATTTTTGGTGACATTTGTACAAACCAGTAAAAACGCCCAGAAATTGGACTTGAGAGATCAGTTTTTTATAACGTTGTTAAAGTTGAGGATGGACCTGCCCTTTGAATACATAGGCCATGCTACAGATCTCTCAATAAGCCATGTTAGTAAGATCTTCTGGAAGTGGATCGAACTGGTGTCAACCAAACTTGCCTTTTTAATTAAATGGCCTGATAGTGAAGTTGTACGAAGAACTCTTCCTGGACCCTTTCGAAATAATTTCCCACGGCTTACATGCATAATTGACTGTTTTGAAATATTCATTGACAGACCAAAGAAACTTTGTGCTCGAAGTAAGGTCTACTCAAACTACAAAAAACACAGTACTGTTAAAGTCCTTATAGGATGTACACCCAATGGATCGATTTCCTTCCTCTCTAAGGCTTGGGGAGGTCGTGCAAGTGACAATGAAATAGTGAGACAATCAGGGTTTATTGACCCAAATATGCACCACCCACACGACCAGATTTTAGCAGACCGGGGGTTTACCCTGAAAGACGACTTTGCAGCTCTGTGTAGTGCCGAACTTATAACACCTGCATTTACCAAAGGTAAAAAACAGCTTTCAGCCAAGGAGGTTGAAGTGTCAAGACAATTAAGTAATGTTAGAATTCATATCGAACGTGTAATTGGACTCATGAAAAACAAATTTAAAGTCTTACAAGGAACTTTGGCCATACCATTCATTAAAACTGTGACTGATGAGGCAGATGAGCTTGAGCTAAGCAGAATTGACACAATTCTGATTTCTTGTGCAGTTTTTGTGAATCTTGGTGACAGCATTGTGTACCGGGAGGAAAATCATTGAGAATTGTGTTGATCAATCAATATTTATGCTTGTATTTAGTTAATTTCTTAATTTGTGCTTTTATTAATACAATAATATGGAAGTTTATTCCATCAGGTCAAGTCACCTGTACCACAAATATTTTTCTGCTTGGCCTAATGCCAGTTGGTATGTCAACTCTAAAAATCTCTGTGTAGAGGCAAAAATGTGTAAAAACGCACGCGTCCAAAGCTTATAAACCAAATGCCATTTAACATTTATTTAAGTGTTGAGATTGAAAAGTGCATTAACACAAAATTTAACAAAGTGCTGTGTAACTGTCACTGAAAAACAAAGGAGTGCAGGATAAAAAATTGCTCCAAACACAAGTATTGAAAGTATTGCGATACTTGATAAAGATTTGAACGGTCTATGGCACAAAAACTCATAATTCATGGTAATCTCACTTTCTCAAGGAGTTCGGTTTTCTGCACATTGGGCAGTACCATTCACCTTTTGGTGCTTTTTTCAGTTTCAAACAGTCCAAGTGCAGCCACTTGTATTTACAATTTGGATTGTCACAGCCTATATATTGCTTGTTGTCCTCTGGCTTCTGGCACACACAGTAAAAATTAGTTGAAATATTTTGCATGTTTTCAGACTCTTCTTTGCATTTGTTTTCCAGAGTTCTTGTCATAAGCTCGTGCAGAATGTGGTTTTTGAAAAAGGCTGTTGTTGTTTGCAACATGTGTTCAATAAAGTCATTATCACGCTTAACATTGGCCAGGAGACAAAAGTTCTCAGTCCACACAAAGAAGTCACACTGTTGAGTTTTGTACACATACATTTGCAATTGTACTTGTGCAAAGTATTTATGTCCTTTTTTCAAAGTTGCACCCTCAATGCAGCACTTCTTATCACTTAAAAAATCCTGTAGTGTCTTATTACGAAATGAGTAAGGGCATTTGACTTCAACAACGCGTTTGCCGTGGCATTCACACTGTGTTATTGAGTCAGCACTAGCCCCTAGGAAGGGTGTCTCTTCTGCGATTCTAAGGCCCGTTCTCTGTACACTAACACCAGTGTGGGGTGGCTGAATATTGTTCAAAAACTGTGTATAGGCCTTAAGAGCTGTCTTTTCATGTTTCCGTCCCCAGTTGATGGCAGTTGTAGACACAGTTTCAGGGAAGCAGATTTGTTTGATAACTGAACGGGATGGTTTGTCTGGGTCTGTGTGCAGAACACCATGCACTGTTGATGAAGTTATTCTCCCACACCGTTGTTCATACCATGCCAGACAGTCACTTTGTCCTAAAGTGCATTTCTCAATTTCAGTGACTTCTTCTGTTGTGACTTTCATGTTTGATATGATTTCTTCACACTTTTGTAGGAGTTCTTTTTGGGAGGAGGAATAATTGTCAGCAGAATACAGTTTTCGCAACGGCTGTGGAAGTTTTATTTTTGGTGTTGATTCTCTCTTCCAATGAAAGTTTTCAGAGTAACCATTAAAACAACTCAACACAACAGGTTTGCTATCACATTCGGATAATGATTTGAGAAATGATTGTTGTTCATCATGAGTAGCTCTGGAATATGGTTTTGATCGTTTTTTTTTCTTGACTTTTTGCACACGTGTGTCTTTGTAGAATTTGATTTTGCTCACGGGGTCTGGGGTCACCTTTTCAACAAAGTCATTATTCCATTTACAGGCCACATCTGTACATGTTTCTTTGGTCAGCCCGAGTCTAACGAACGCTTCAACCTTGAAGAGGAGGGCAGCCACGTGGGAGCAGGATTCCCCAAGTCTGTGAACAAAAAAAGTTTTTGTTATGTAACACAGTTATCACCTCTTTAATGGCATGGGGTCAATAGCATCAATTAAGAGGTTGTTAATTTGTAATACAACTGCTATAATGGTGTCATAAATCATGGACACTTACCCTCCATGCAGGTGCAGTGACCAGCTGTCACTTTCCCCTCTGCTGTCAAGGCAACCCATGGTTTATGAGGCTGGTCGTTGACTCTCTGCGAAGGTTTGACGTCGGCAAGTAGCAATGTGTGTCTGGTCTGCGGAATGAAGTGACAAAGAATGTTCTCCACCCATCCCGATTGGAAATAGATGTAGGCCTCAAGACTCATCTTATTCCTCATGCTTTCCCTGGTGAACACACCTGAAACAAACAAACATACAATGTAGATCTACTAATTTGGTGAAAAAAGAGCTTACACTTACAATTACAATCGATACTCTGAAAAACAAATCAAATTATTATACTGTATAGTATTTACAGTCTAACATTAACCAGTGTAACAATTCAATCAAACATAATTATAATCAGACAGTAACTCACTTTAGTCTGTACTCAGTGCTACACTACTGAGACTTGATAGTAAATAAATCTTCTCGTAATTTCGTCGGAATTACAGTTATCAATCTTTTACACTGAGTAAGTTTCTGATTAGAATCGACGTGCAGCTTTAAACAAATTGTGTGGATTATGTTTTAACATTTAATGCAACTGTGCCCGAGACAGCAGGCTACAAATTCTATGATTTATTTTGCTTTAAACACAATTTATTAATTTTTATATTTATTGTTTATTTTTTACCAGGTAAGTCAATTGAGAACTCTTTTGCAATGACGACCATTTGTTAGTTTGTTTAGTCATAACGTTGGCTAAATCATGCCTTAGCTAAATCAAAACTGGTCACAACGTCGTTGAGAGCTTCTAAAACATTTTCTAGTCAACATTACATGTAACTTAGATCATAATTATTTCCCGAAATACAAACATCAATGCGTGAAATTCAGCACAAAATTAGATGGATTAGTGAAGCGCGCGCGTCTTTTGCTAATTACTCACGAAAATGCTAAAAGGTTCTCTGGTCCAACTTACCACTCATTGCCATTGAACATTAAAACAGATCTTAAGCTTTAACTATGAAACTGATTACGAAATTACCTGGTGTGTCAATGAGATAGGTATATAGGTCTCCGTACTCCAAATCTGGCCATTTAGTTGGGTCGTTAATCCAAGTACCTCTTGGCAGTTTGTACAAACATGTATCTAGACCAATTAGGTCCAATTTCTGTTTATATCGGACTTTTGCCTCAATTGGCAGGTTATCATAGTAATCAAATGACATTTGATCACAATCCGAAAATTATTCACCTTAATAAATTCTCTCAAGTCCAATTACAGCCACCTAATGTCAGCGATCTGCCAGTGTTTTTCAATGGGGCCGGGGTCGCTGTTTTCACCTTCGCTAACCGCCATCTTGATTTGTGACGTAAGAGCATAGAGCCTCCCTCCCGCCTGCAGACTGTATGGGCATCGGTTGTCGTGGTTACAGCGCTTCAGAAGCCGTACTTGGTCTTGAGTTCGTTCACCAGGTCCACGTACTCCTTCATGGCGTCGTCCTTGCTCTTGCCTGAGAACAGAGGAGGGTCGGAGGTTAAGGACCATGGACAGAGCAGGGTCGGAGGTTAAGGACCATGGACAGAGGAGGGTCGGAGGTTAAGGACCATGGACAGAGGAGGGTCGGAGGTTAAGGACCATGGACAGAGGAGGGTCGGAGGTTAAGGACCATGGACAGAGGAGGGTCGGAGGTTAAGGACCATGGACAGAGGAGGGTCGAAGGTTAAAGGTCAGAGACAGAGGTTAAAGATCAGGGTTAAAGGCTTGCAAAGGGCTCAGGTGAGGAGCGCACCTTTCTGCTTCTCCCAGGCGTCCCACTTGGCTTTCCCGGTGAAGTCCAACATTCCGGGGCGAGCTGTAGGGGGAACACGGGACGTTTGTTACATGGGGTGTGACATCACAAGGGTTTAAAAGCAGCATGGTATGGAAAATGGAGTGGAGCAAATATATTCTACAATAACCTCTATTATACAATATATTGTATATATTGTATAATAGAGGTTAGGAAACTTTTTAGCTGAGAGAACCAAAAAGTCTGTTTATTGTCATATATAAAAACAGAATTTAAAAAAGCATTATCATTTTTATAAGCAAAGAAATCCAAAAAGAGAAGATAAAAAGTTATTGATTTCACTTTGGTGAACACTTAAAACATTTTTAGATTTGTCCGAGAGCCAGACACTATCCATTAGGTTCCTGACCTCATTCAGAGACAACTGTGCTGCAGTGAGGAGCAAAAAGGACTAGAGCTCAGAGTTATGTGTGTGTGACCTGTTGGTTTCTATCCGTTTTGTTTAGCACTTTGAGTTGCCTTGTGAATTAATTGTGCTATACAAATAAACTTACCTTTCCTATCATTTGTAAAGCACAGTTCACACACAAATAATGATCAGTCAAAGGCTAAAAAGACTAAAAAGAAGAGTTTTCAGTCTGAATTTAAACAAAGCCAGGGTAGCGGCCTGTCTGACACCTTCAGGAAGATTGTTCCAGATTTTAGCTTTACAACGAGGTAAGGTATGCCTATATTGGTGGAGCTGAAGTTGGCTGGATGACACTGAACTTGTGTAACTGGTACTTTGTACATGGTTACATGTTTGCACTTTTTTTTTTGCACACCCTGAGTGATATGTTTTATGCCTAATGTGACATGTACCTTTTCTCTGTTGTGAGATCAATAAAGTTTATCTCATCTTATCATTGGACCGTGCGGCTGTTGTCAGTGATCTCAGTAAAACAGTTCTGTGTATAAAGATTCAGAGATCCTTTTTAAGTTCCACGCTGGGGACATTTGTGTGTATTAGTGTGTGTGTGTGTGTGCGTGCGTGTGATTCTGCAGTGGCTCTGGGGTCTTGCCTGTGTTGACGTCTCCCACTGAGGCCTGCTTGAACAGAGAGTAGACCCGGAGCATCTCCTCGTCCGCGGGTTTGGCCTTCAGGTTCTTCACGTCTGCGGCGGCGCTCTCGAACTGTGCCTAAAGCGACACACGCAAGTTTAGAAGCCCGCCCCGTTCACAACATGTAAGAGTGAGCTAACAAGAGGGAAACTTCTGTATCTGGGACTACAAAACACACAGAAATAAGACAAAAATAGTGAATTATTTTGTGAATAAAAACTGTCGGGATGAGATTATTTCAAACATCTCACATTTTCACACAAACATGGGGCAAAACCAAGTGAATTCAAGGCCTTTAAAATTTTTTGAGTTTCTATATAAAAGGAGCAGTATGTAAAATATCTGGACAAAAGTGGCACTGCAGCCTCTCCCACTCTCCCTGACTCAGGTTGCCAGATAAGCAGACGAATCCAGCAGCAATAATTAATTTCTGAAAAGAGTTTTGTCAACAACAAATCTATAACCAACACCTTTTTCAATTAAATATTGTGGGAAAACGTCCCTAAATCCTCAAAGTAGTCAAGTTACCATGCGTTTTCAAATAGTAATGGAATTGATCAGATGCCTATAGTTTCCAAAAATTAAAAAAAAAAGATTTGAGCGGACCAAAAAAATAAACCAATGGGATTCGTTCATCCCCAACGAACCAATGGGATGCGTTTACTCCCTTCACCCACTTCCTGTTTCTCGCGAGTGTGCGCACCGGAGATATTGGATTTTCTAAAACCTAAAAGGGCTGAACAGATAATGCCAATTTTACGTTTGCCACCCGCTCTCCGTTTTGTGATAAAGAAAATAAAATGATGGATGTTTAGTTTTGTGGAGAGGCGAGCTAACGAAATTGCTTACTGCATCTTTAAAGAAGTATTTGAAAAAAAAAAGAGCATGTTTTGTTAATGCCTTTTGACAGATTAGGGCCATTTAATTATGACGAGAAATGAAAATCTTACATATTGCAACTTTAAACCAAATCTTTCCTTTTCATTCCTATATTAATAAGTGACATGGATCAACCCAGTTCAGTCAAGACCAGATTAGAAAGCCTTTCCCAACACACAATCCTAAACCATTGTGAAAGAACGGCTTATCCAAAACAAATATTTGCAGTAGTTAGAACAAACACAATATGAGTGTCAATAAAGCTCCTTGTGGTTTTGAAGACAGTCCGAGCTATCCTCAGATAACCTCCTCTCAGTCAGCGTGGCAAACAGAAGAGTCATTGACGAGGTCTTTCTCGGTGCGGACTCTGGAGCGCTGCTGGCGGAGCGCGAGCCAAGTGGGACAGAGGGCAAGGGGCCGGGCTGTGACCAAAGTGCACGACACCAGACTCTAAAGAAATACACTGATGGATTCTCATCTCGTCTCAGGCAAAAGAGTAAGACATGACAAGTGGAGGTGGATATTCTTTGCTAAATATTTTCATTGATTGAAGTTAGCATCTATCCGTTTATGGACAAAAAACAAATTAATTCTTGCAGCGACGTCCATCTGTTGCTAAAGCACCTAATACATTATGCAGATAGTAAAACAGCTAGACAGACAAGTACACAGGCGTAGCTGTTGCCATAGGAGATAACAGATATGTCTGAGGTGCACTCTGGTTAGTTAGTTGAAAGTAGGGCTGCACGATATATCGGAAAAATATTGTTATCGCGATATGTGCGCGTGCGATATCCATATTGAAAAGATCCGGGATCTTTATAGATAGAGAGATAAAAAAATATTTAAAAAACGACAGCTAAACAGACAGACACATTAACATTCAACAAGAACAACAGACAATCAAAAAAGTATATAAATATATGTATTTGAATGTCATTAATGTTGTGCATATTTTTTGTTATTTGTCTCTTGCGTTTCAATGCAGATTGCAATTTTAGGTGAAAGACAAAAATATCGCAATAATATCGTTATCGCAATACTAAACACTCATATCGAATATCGCACTAATTTCCAATATTGTGCAGCCCTAGTTGGACGTGTTTATAATTTATGTATTCATGTGTTTGTATGGATGTGTTCCTGCTGGATTTCTCCTACAGGGGATCAATAAAGTATCTATCTGATCTAAATCACCGAGCACTATAGTTCTGAGGCTCACACAAGTGCACCCAGAGCTGATGAGGGACTTCACTCGCTCTGCACCGAGAGACAACGGTTACAACAACACTTCACCTCGCTGCGCCTCGCCACTGTGCACATCACATGGTCTGTAATATATGTGGCAGTAGCATAATGGAGCAGTGTGTAAGTACAGATGCATACACAAACACAACTATTTATAACTTGCACTAGAATATACAGTGTTGCTGTTAGGGCAAGATCTATATTTGATGATTATCACGCTGTACAATCCCCTTTACGCTACATCGAACTGAAAGTCATCACAGCAAAGTGCCAAAATGTCTTTAGAAACACAGGGAGTTTGAGTAATGCTGTTTGCACTGACGAATCCAAAAGAGCAACATTTTACATTACAGCCTGCAACCAAACTGGCCTGGAGTAGCCATCAGTGCATGTGTTACTAAGATAAGATAGACTTTATTGATCTCACTCAAAACTCTGGCAATTAAAGAAACAGTGGCAATAGTAGTGCAGGTTTTTTTTAATTCTTGCTTGCTATTGAAAGACCATAGTACGAGACCATTGCTCGGCTCTTGCATACAAAGGTGAAATCTCCAACATGTGACTGTGAGCTGCTGCTGTGGTGAAATCAGAGGCACTGATGTGGTAACAAGCAGCAGTAGCAGTAGCAGCAGCAGCAGCAGAAGCAGAAGTCTCCTACATGAAGCAAAGGTCTGATTTTTTGACACACGTTTCCACACTGGCCAGATTACAAGAGTGGTGAGTTGTGGCCGCATCCAAATTCATAACAAACTCATTATTTATCCTTTCTTCCTTCTCCTTCATGTTATCCTTTCTATTAAAAGTTGTACATGACCAAACGTGGAACTACCCCATCTAGTAAAAAGTTAAGTCAAATACAGATGAAGAGGGAAGTCATTTCTTTGTGAAATTAAATTGTATTTTGTTTCATATTATGTTTAGGATCAATCCAAAACCTGAGCTATTCAATACATATTCACACAAGATTACAGTAATTTATAGGGTTATTTTTGTACAATATTCAGAGTAACAATGTGAATTTATTTTATACAGATGTGTAATTGGGTGTAAAGGCATTGTTCTGTCCCATTGGCTATGCATGGTTTACAAACCCTTCCATCCATCCATTTTCTTCCCTTTAATCCATTTCTGGGTCAGGGGGGTGGCAGTCAGAGATGCCACCCAAGTCTCATAGCACCAGCCCCTCACTGACCCTCTGCAGGTGGTGAGTCCACAGGAGGACGGCTGCTCTCTGAGTGAGCATAGCCTTGATCTTTCAGTGGGGGCTTTGGGCAAAGTGGGGTTAAGTGTCTTGCCCAAGGACACAGCGACAGCAGTCATCAGTGGGAGTCGGTGGAGAAGGTGCAGAGGTGGGAAATGAACCCACGACCTTCTGGCCTTAAGGCCAATGCTCTACCAACTGAGCTACTGTCGCCCCCTGGTTTACAAACCGAATAGTATTAATGTTCTAAACTATTGTTATTTTTCTCCAACTGCGGTCACACCACAGGACATCCAACTGGTAAGACATGCCATCGCCCAGGTCGTACAAAGTTAGATTTTTATAAAATAACACAGTATTTATATACATATCGTTGTTTTCCTTGTGCAGAGCTCTACTTAAACCCCATGTTGTGTTTTCTAATGTATAATTAAGGCATGGCAATGGAAGTTTCTGTGTAAATCACAGTTCAAAACACAAAAGACAACTCAAAGCACTTAACAAAACAAGAAATGTACAGCCAAAACAAGCCATTGAAATCATAATCACAGTACATTAATAAGAGTGAAAATACAATCTATCAGTTGTATGCACAGCTAAACACAGCTAGAATTAAAAGTAAAGGCTTCATCTTACTTCGTATAAAAGAAGTGAAAAGTACTAAAGTGATAACACATGATTATCATTTTTCTGTTTTTTCCCCTCAGTTGTGCACCTGTCACTTCAGTCTCAATCCTACTGTCAATGACTCATGTTTGTTTTTCCAGCGCGATACAGATAATCGACTATTATCTCAAAAACTATTGTTAAACTTAAAATAATCCAAATGTATCGGAGTGGAAACTAACAAAAGAAAAGCCCCCTCCCCTCAGGCAGCACATGCTAGCTCCCCTCCATGGCAGGGTGGGAGCGCTGCCTTTTGGGGGCACTTTACAAACTTAACGGTGATAAAAAGCACATTCACGTATATACTGGTGGAGTGTACGAACCTGGAGATCTGCCATGTTTAGTGTGTATGTGTGTGTGGTCTGGAGCGGCGGGCAGGCTGAGATGGAGCAGGGAGAAGGCAGCGGTGGTAGAGGTGGTGACGGAGGCTCGGAGTGAAAGCAGAGTCCACGCTGAGCTGAAGAAGGGCGGCAGCACGTCTCCCCCGGTACGCCCTACTCGACACTTGATTGGCTGAAATAGTGATTGACATAACAACCGTCCTGTCATGGTGTGGTGTAAAAGTTTTCAACCAATCCCAGCGTGCCAAACCAGGAAGTGTGCAGAGGAGGCGGGCACTGGGCTGACAGATGTTTACAGGGGCAAAAGGCAAGGCTCGAGGCGACGATAATTTACCACTACTATTACTGTTGGTTTTACCGCTTTACAAAAGTAACTAAGTACTGCCATGTGTGCCTTCTGGAAGTCACTTTTAAATGTAGTAACATTTGTGTTACAACAACGTAAAACTTATTATTTAGTAAGTAATACATGAAGCATGGCACTGGAAACATTACGTTTATTCATTAAACAAAAATATCCAAGCCAATACAAAGCACTGACTGGGCCCAGTCACATGGGAGGACCTGGAGGAGAGCCGCTTCTCCTCCACGATGAAAGGGACTTGGGCGTTTCTATGGGATACCCCGTCACACTGGGAAGAGGCAAAGGTTAAGCCCAAAGACTGGCTGGCCTGGGATCACCTCTGGACATGGTTTGGTGGAGAAAGAAAGGGAATCTTTGTTTTCCTGGCAGAAAAGATGCAGCATGAATGGACTAGAAATCGACAATTGATGTTACAACTGAGCTAACCACAAACATGCATAATTCTACTGCACAACACAGCAGCTGTGCCAGCACTCATGTTGTATCATAGTTCTTACTAACTGCATTTGTGCCTAAACAAACCACTGCCGTAATAGGTTAGTATGATTCAATCAACATTAACCAAAAAAAGCATCACTTCATTTCTATAAAATCACATCAAATACAAGTCAGCGTCCGTTACTTGGGAGATTCATCTAATCAATAAATCAGGGATGGGCCATTATTAACAAAATAAGGTATTTCAAATTTTTAGAACTACCTTATTTTGTTCAGTACTTTGAGTTGTCTTGTGTATGAATTGTACAAATAAACTTGTCTTGCCTTAAATAAACTAAAAGTGTTGGAGTTGGTATTATTACACATTTTGTAAGTGGGTCTACAATTACTAGACCTACACATTGATAAAGAAAAAGGATAACAATTAATGTTTTGGGCTCTTAACAAACATAAGTCAATTATACAAAAAAGTGTACATGCATATTCTACACCTCAATGTATTTATTCAAATAAGATCTCCTGTCTCAGTAATAAAATCCAATAAAACGTTTCTTGGAAATAAAAATAAAAAAGTTTTAAGTTATAGTGTCTTCAAATAAATGAAATAAAGCCAAGAGTCTACCATTGGTTTAACATGAGTTAAACTAAATTCTCACAACAATATTGTAGAAATATTGATGTTTGAGGTTCTTTGTTTCAAGGAGGGCATCCACGATCCTTGTATTATCAGCTCACTTTCAATTTTTTAGAACATTTTGAGCATTTCAAAAACATGACTCAAACATCTTTCATCCTCCCAAACAATAAAAAGAACTAAGGCACAGTGTCCGTTTACTTGAAAGCCTAACTGTAAACGTCATGTCGGCTCTGGCCCCTGCAGCGTCCGGCGCCCTGGTCCGGCGTCACCAGGTCCAACATCACCAGGCCATCTGGGGGTTCGCCTTGAACGCCTCATAGTCTGCTTTCCTGAAGAAGGCCAGCTCGGTCTCATTGGCTGCAACAGAAGACAGAATCAAGGTTTCAAATTGTCTAAGTCTAATAAATATATGGACCTGTATTGCATTATTTTTCACGCCACACATGGTGAGACTCCACTACATCCACACTTTCACTACAGCCACAACTGCCCTGGGACAGACTGACAGAAGATAATTTACCATCACCACTTTCATACAAGGGAAGCTGACTGGTGTCTTGTCCAAGTACAACACATGTAGTAAATACATTAAAAGGAACATATGTGACTGATGAAGACAAGAATCATCCAAAACATGATTTGTAAATTATATATTCTAAAAACATACATTTGAAATCAGGCTCTTGCACAGGCTTTATTCAATATTCATTCATGCACATGAGTGACGTCACCCTGTCAGGGGTGTAAAAGCCTCCTCAGGCTGTGATGGGACGCAGCATCGGTTGCATCTTCACTGCAGCCGCATGTTTAACAGTGAAAAGTCCTGTTAGTTTTGTCTAAAGCCAGATCTGTCCTGAGGCTGTAGTGGCTCTTTATGAACAGTCTTCACATCATAATTATCGTCTTTGAACAGAATCTCAGAGGTTGGCACTCACTGATTCCAGCTTCTCTAAGCGTTTCACTTTCCTTCAGAAGTGGTTTGTCCTGGTCGTCTAAACTCATCACCAAGTCATTCGTCTGCAACAGAGCAGAGACTTAAAAAGGATCATATTAGTAATGATTATTTTGTTTACAGTACATATGTTTGTGTCCTGCAGTAAATACCTTAGCCCCATGTGCTTGATGGATTATTTTCATTGCATCTGAAAAGTAAAAGGATCATTTAAACATATGTACAGACTCAGTAGAGAGCTGATACAAGCCGATAGTATAAAGTCTAAACTGAGCCCTAAAATGTAGTTTTCCCCACTAAGACTAACAGTAAATTCAACTAAAATGTAAGCAAAAGGTAGATTATGGGTCCTGGGTTTGATACCACCTCCAGACAGGACATTTCTGTGTGGACTTGTACATGTTTTTAGTGTTGGGGAAACCTACACCCAAGAACATGCAAATAGTTGAGGAATGAATGCGTGTGTGTTTGCGACTGTGGGACTACAGATGGAAATCATCTACAATCTGATGTATTTACAGTTACTGCTTTTATGAATTCACACTGTCCCATCCAAATAAACACATAAATACAAATGTTGACATTAAATGACATACTCCACCCAACTGAACAAACAAAAACAATGAACATTATGAATACATTTCTAATATACAAGGCTTATATGGTTCATGATCAATTTAAATTGTGATATCCAATGAGTAAATCCAAAATGCCTCTCTGTTTAGAATCGGAGTCGGAGTCATCCTGATGCTCCGATTCCTATATTCCATGCTCGTAGAATATAAATTGAAGAAGTAAATAAGACTTAGACAGACTTTATTGATCCGCAAGGGAAATTGCGTTGTCACAGTAGCTTGCATAGTATTTCACAATAAAAAAAAGATAAAGACATTTATATGTATTAATCTCACCATACTGATGCTTCCTAAATGGAGGTGGTAATCCTGGTCTGGTCTCAATATCTAAAACAATAAGAACATTTTAGTCACAAGCACATCTTTTAAAAAAACAGCTACTTTACATTACTTTTGTCAATGTGTATTCATGATGTGGAAGATTCTAAGCCAAGGCATGTCTTGTATAATAAAAGTCTGCAAATGGTGAAATAGGGAGTATAGCAAATAAGTAAGCTTAACCCAAAACACTTTTAGCTTAACCCAAATGAATGACTTTGTTATTATTCACCCTTTGGAACATGTTTCAGCGAATCCAGTTTTACACTGAAGAGGAACATCTATGATAGGATAAGAGAGCCTTTATTCTTCCCACAGTGGGGAGATTTCAATGTTGCAGAGCTATAACATTTCTGGAACCGGTTTGACACATGGATCTATTATTAAAACCAGTTTGACACCCCTCTGGTTTATTGACTGGTCTGAAGCGCCCCCTGCTGGTGGCTAACGAACTGGTAAATGGGTCATGCCAGTGGTTCGATGTCTCCCATATCATAACAGTCTCCGGTGTCTCCACATACAGTCTATGGTCTCTACACTTACCGGTGAGCACGCGCTGGATGAAGTCCCCCACGCGCAGCTCCGGGGGCACGTGCTGAAACACGACGGGTTTGAAGTTCCGGTACTCGAAGGAGCGCACGAGACGCACCGTGATCGTCACTTCAGCAGACATGTCTCCTGAGTGGCTCCCGGCTCCAGCGGACATGTTCTGTAACCGGCGTCTGACAGCCGCCTCACACCTCTCACAAGGCCAATGTCCCACTGAAGAGACTGGGGATCTGATGTTTTGGTCCGCACTTCTTCGACCTGCTCACTGCTACGTCATAAACAAGAGACAACGTAAGAGACACCCACAGGGCTGGAGAAGAACTGCAGTGACAACAGAGCACATGCCTCCTTGCCCCCTTTACGTTTTTGTGATCGGTTTTAGGTTATATCCATCAGGGACGTGGTGTGTTTTGTAAGACAAAAATCAATTATGATTCTACAATAATGAAAATAATAATGCTGTATATGTATTGTTTTTTTTTTTTTATCAAAATTTTAAATTGATTAGAGCTAGGTATTTTCAAAACTCATAGAGCACATCTCCGCCAAGAGCAGCATTCCTCTTCCTCACAATTTCCGAAGTTCCCTGAAATGTTGAGCTGTGTTGAAAACAATCAGATTGAGGGACAAACCAATACTACTACTAATAATAATAATAATAATAATACTACATCAAACTTGTATAGCGCTTTTTTGGACACTCAAAGACGCTTCACATGGGGAGTAGAATACAATAATAAAAAGGGGTTTACGGACAACTTTGTTTGAAAAGATGGGTTTTGAGTACTGATTTAAAGTTTGATAGTGAGTCAGAGTTTC